ACAATTACTCAGGTTTGTGAAAAAAAAAAAAAAAAAAAAAAACCACAACAAACCACCCCACAGGTTTTTCCTGGCGGCAGGGGGATGTGCTGACCACCCGCCGCCCAGGGGAGCTGTCGGTGCTGGGACGATTTCATATGAGATTTTGAACTGGTCAATATGTATCCTCTAAGTTAGAATACTCCATTGTGTCTCTTTCCTCTTGGCTTTCTCTTTCTTACGGGCACCGCACGTGCGCGCGCTCACACGCATGTACGGGGTCCCTGAGTGCCTAGGCTTTGGAGGGTTCACCTGCCCCATGCCTTTAGTCTGTAACGGCTGCAGCTTTTGCATGACATCTGAAGTCCTAGGTGCACCGAGCACACTTAATCAGTATTTCTTTCGCTGGCTGGTGAATTCAAACAACCTACCCAAAGATTGATTCTGTGAGTTGAGATGTCAGAGGAGACGACTTTATAGGTCTCCCGCCTTCAGGTTCTCATGATACCACCATTACTGTGCTTATTTTTTTAAGAAAAAATGTGTTTTTCAACCATTTGACCTATAAGAAGCCTTAAATTGCACAGTGCGTGGCTTATGGAAATTGCATGAAAGCTGACGGGCCGGAACCTCGCCCCCGGTGTTGCCCCTGGGCTCCCGCTGCGGGGCGGCCGAGGCCAGGCCTCCGAGCTGCAGGCTGGGCGGGGAGCACTGCCGTCTCCCCACCGCCGTCGGCTCCTTTCTCGAAGTGTTTAATGAATGACTTTCTCTTATTCTAGAATTGTACATAGACTCAGTGGTAGTCATATACTGAAAGGCAAACCGCCCTACAGAATTCATTGGTTTGTACTCAGTGTGGCTGGCTTATATGATTTCAACATGAGTATTTTTTAAAATTGATTTCTTTCCTCATTTTTTTTTTCCAATCAAATTTACTGTAATATAAAGTATTCAACAATTTCAATAAAAAATAAATTATTAACCGGGTGTTACTGCTTTTTTCCCCTTGAGAGTGAAACGTTGCCGAGCCGGCCGCCGGTCCGGCTGCCACCTGTCCTGGGAGCTTGCAGGCGTCTGCGCCCCGCGAGCAGCGCCGCTGTTTTCTCCCTGGAGCCTTTCCCCCCGTGGGCGCTCACTCTAGGTCTGCCGAGCTTCTCTCAGCCTCACCTGGGTTCTCCTGTTCACCAAAGCAGCTGCCGTTGTGCGCGGTCCGTCTCACGGGGGGTGGGGTCTCTTGCACAATCTCTGAGTCTTTTATCTGAAATTACTGACCAGTCACCAGAGCTGCCTAGGTTCTGACAAAGCAGACAGAACAGTCAAGCTAGACTTCTCGGAGTCAGCGTCCTCCCTTCATCTAATTTTCTAATCACCCAGTTGCAGTTAGTGACTTACTATTTGTTAGTATTTTACACCGTTGTTGAAGTATCAGAACCACCGAGATGGCGCTTCGGACCCATCCCTTCCTTTACCCCCTCATCCGGGTGCTGGCGGGTTGGGGTCGCCGAAGCGCCAACCCCTGGTCCTCGGAACGTGACCTTGATTGGCAGATAGGTCCTTACAGAAATAACCAAGTTACAGTGAGGTCAGCGGGCTGGGCCCTAACCCACTATGACTGGTGTCCTTGCAGAGTGGAGAAATGTGGACACAGACACAGACACACACAGAGGCAAGAGGATGTGAAGACACGGGGGGAAGACGGCCAAGTGCAAGCCAAGGAGAGAGCCCTGAGCAGACCCTCCCTCAGCCTCAGGAGGAGCCCACCCTGCCCACACCTTGATCTTGGACTTCGGCCAAAGAGCGGTGAGGCAGTCAACCTGTTGTCTCGGCCTCCCAGTCCATGGTGCTTTGTTATGGCAGCTCTGGGAAGTGAATCCAGACACTAAAGGCCCAGCCCCCGGCCTCCTCGAGGGGCCATGGAGAGCGACCCACAGCTGTGCTGGGCTGAGGAGCTCTGGGGTGCTGGTGCTAGTCCGGGCCACTATACTGTGCCCATCACTGTCTTTTTCTGTGATTTATAAAAAAACATGGTGCATAAAATCCATTGGCTTTCTTGTCCGTTCTTTCAAAGAGATGGTCTTGAATGTCTGTTTCAGGCCAGGAGTCAAGGCACAGGGTGGAGCTGTTTCTAAGGCCCACAGTCCCCAGCGTCTCCCCTTAACTGCTCTGGGTTTTCAGTAGAGACCGGTCTGGGAAATGCTTTCAATCCAAGGTGGGGAAGTGATGGACCACCAGGAGGACACAAGTCCTTGTACTCTCTGCCCCCTGCTGTTGTGACAACGGCTGCTGGTTGGCTTTGAACTCACACCTGAGCCAGGGCCTGAGGTTCAAGTATGTCACCTGCCCAGGGGCCCCCTCACCTCCTTTGGTACAGTCCACAAGCTCAGAGCAGGCTGTACATTTTTAAGTGGCTTAAAAATAATAGAAGAACACGTGGCACATGAAAATCTCCATGTCCCTAAATAAAGCATTACTGGGAGCCCCCGCCCTCGTTCACTCACATCTCACCTGGGGCTGCTTTAGTACCAGGGCCTCGGACATGACCGAGGGACTGACCCCTAGAGTTTTGGTTTCTCGTGTCTGACACGTGGGTAACTCACAGGTGCTGGCAAGGGTCACGTTAGGGAACGAGCAACAATGCTCAGCGAGGCACCTGGCCGTCACCCTAGAAGCTCAGGACAGTGGCACCGGGCCTTTCCCAGGTGGCCTTGGCCACAGTCCTTGATTGCCTCTCCTCTGCGATTATGGTCACCTAGGATGTTCCAGCCACCTCTTCGTGCACCTGAGGCAGGGCTGGGAGGGGGAAACGGAGTGAAACAGGGCAAGGAAAAGGTCCCCGTTACCTGGTGGTGGTGGTGGTGGGGGCAGCTGCTTTCTCCGCGGAAAAAAGTCAGCAGTGGGGGGTCAGGTCTGGCTGGCTCGGCCTGGCCGCTGGGGAGGTGGGGATGGGGAGGGCGCCAGCTGTCTCCCCACGATGTGTGGAAAGCAGGACCTTCACACCCCGGCTACTTCCATGCGGACGACCCATGTCAGGGGAGCTGGCACATGTGGAGCTCGTGGTGTTAGAAAAAGCCAGTAGTCTTACTCTTGTGTCACTTCCGACATTTCTGGTTAACAGGTGTGGGGTTTCCCTCCCCCCCAAAGCAATTCTCTGTGACACAGTGGGCGTCCTACACTTTAACTTGATCCTGACACTAGCTGCCTGGAGATGGCATCAGATCGCACGAGCCTGCCCCCGGCTTCAGATGCCAATCAGAAGTAGTAGGCCCCCAGGTTCCCACAGTTCTGCCCGATTTGGTTGCAAATCGGGGTTCCCTTGGCTCCTTCCTCTTGGATTTGATGATTTGCTAGAGCGGCTCACAGATCTCAGGAAAACACATATTTACCAGTCTATTAAAGGACACAATAAAGGATACAGATGAAAGGCCAGATGAAGGGATGTGTAGGGTGAGGTCTGGAGGGCTCTGAACCCAGGAGCTTCTGTCCCTGTGGAGCTGGGGTGCGTGCCCCTCCCGGTGTGGACTTGCTCGCAGACCTGAGAGCTCTGAGCCCTGCACCACTGGGATTCTCCTGGAGGCTTCCTCAGGTGGGCAGCACCAATTACTCCACTCCCAGCCCCTCTCCCTTCCCAAGAGAATGGGGGCGGGGTGGGAAATTCCAACCTTCTAACCATGACTTGGTCTTGACTGTGACCAGGAGCCCCTGAGGAGCCCACGGGAGTCACCTCATTAGAAAAAACCACCCCTGTCACCCAAGGGTTCCTAGGATAGAGGCAGACACCAAGATCATGTTTTCTACCCTCTCACAAGGTGTCCCTGAGTGCCAAGGGCCCGCCACGGGGAATTGTCTCTGCCCATCCCACCCCACACCCCCTGCCAGCGCTCACCCTCTGGCAGAATAGAGAAGGGACTGCAGAGCTGCCGTCCCCGAGGGAGGGGCCGTGTTTGTTACCAAACTGCTGGGCTGGAAGCCCGTCCCTGGCGCCCAGAGACCAGAGTCCCAGAAACAAAAGGGGAGCCCGACCTGTGCCTCTGCTTACCTGTCCCTCCTGTGTGCACATGGAGGGCCCACCCCTAATGTCACGTGTCCTCCTGGGCCAAATGGGGGCGGGGAAGGGGTCTTCTGCCTGGTGGCACTTTGTTTTCTCCTATCAGCAGCTCTGGCCTGGGCCTAGGGGTCCCACCTGTGTGGCCAGAAGGCCCTGAGGTCATTCCCCAGGGTTTAGGTGGTTTCATGGCAGCCAGGAGCCTGCAAAGTCGGGCGAGGGCGGTGGGAGATGGGTCTGTCTGGGGACCTTGGCTCTCGCACCCCAGTCAGTCCCACGTGCCCCAGGCCAGAGGACTGGTCAACTGTAAACCCAGAGGCTGCTTTCTGTCCAGTAGTGCTGTCGCTGACCCCAAAACCACACCAGCTACCATCCAGGTCCCTTCTTACTGACTCTGGGCAAGTCCCCTCACCATTCTCAGCCTGGGGCCCCTCGTGATAAAATGCAGGAGCAGGATGTGAGGGACTCTGCCTGCATTTGGGGGGTAGAGGCCTGAGGACCCGATTGCCCGCTCCCAGCTCTGCCCTGTGGTGAGCAGGTCCAGTGCTCTGTGTTTCCTTGAGGAGGTCGAGGTGGCCTGGGGTGAAGTCCTGGAGCCTGGAGCCCGGCCACCACAGGCTGTCCCCTGCCTCTGCCCCCTTGGCCCCTGGGTGCTTGGGGCACAAACACCAGGGGCAGGGGCATCTGAGCCACTTGCCGCCTGCCTCACTCCTCCTGCCTTTCCTCACCCTCTGTCCAGCCCCCTGCACCCCGTCGACTTGCTGGCTGTGAGGAGCACATCAGGCTGAGGACCAGGTGGGGGACCCCCCTAGTGCTCCCTGCTGTCCCTCTGTGAGTCTGTCCCCATGGATGGTAAGCTGTTGGGAGTTAGGGACGGTCCCATCTCTGTGTCCTAGAGCCGAGCACTGCTTGAAATGTGCAGGGACTCGATGCGTATTTGTTGAGTCAACAAATGAACCGACACATGAGCCATGAGCCAAGACGGCCTCGTAGGCTGAACTCCCGCCATGCAGTGGTTCAGGCTTAATGACTGTGAACTTGGAAAGTGGCTGCCCCTGAGCCCCTGTCTTCCCAGCCGTGCACCAGGACGGTAATGGCATCTGTGCTGAAGGCTGTTGGGAGGAGGAATTGAGCCCCGAGCAGGCGCTCCTGAGGGGGCTGAGCCTTCACCCTGACAGCCACGGGCTTGCTGATGGCGGGGCCCGTTCACTGCTCCCCTTTTCCACGAGACTCTGGCTGTAGGATTCCTGAGAGACACCTGGAGACTGAAAGGCAAACACGTGGCGCTCGGCAGAAGCAGGCCTGAGAGCCGGGCTGCGCCCTGGGGCTCGGAGCCTACTACTTAAAGGGCTGTGAGCTGAGGGGTTTCACAGCCCTTGTAGCTGGGCCTCCTGGTCAGTTTTGTGTCTGATTTATCTGGATTATGAAAAGAAGCCTCCCTGCCCCCTTTTTGTCATTAATTCTCACCTGAGGATTTTTTTTCCATTGATTTTTTTTTTTAGAGAGTGGAAGTGGGGGGGAGAGAGAAACATCGCTGTGAGAGAGACACATCAATTGGTTGCCTCCCACACGTCCCCTGACCAGAGCCAGGGAGCGAACCTGCGATCCAGGTACATGCCCTTAACTGGGAATTGAACCTGAGACCCTTCAGTGTGCAGCCAACACTCTAACCACTGGGCACACCGGCCAGGGCAAAAGAAGCTTTTAAATAGATCCCTCGGAAGAGCCCTGGAGACGCTGGTTGACGTGGGGCTCTGGCTCTTTCCTCCTGCTCTGAGAGAGCCGTAGTTCAGAGAGTGGACCTGCTTCCTGGCCAAGCAAACAATTTGGAAGCCACCCCCGCCCTCCACCCGTGCCAGGAGCTGGCGCCGTGGGTTCAAGGTTATTCCTAGTGGTGGGCGGCTCGGTGCATCGTGCATAACAGCAACTTAATTTCAAACTGGCCCATTGCAGAGAAGCCCACAGGGAACATTGATCCGGCCGCTGCTGCCGAGGCCAGTCCGTCAAACTGGTAAGGGTGCTGCCCCGCCGTGCCCACCGCAGGTGACGTCCTGGAGCAGGTCGGGGAATTCGGCCGGTTCCAGAGCAGCCTTCCTGACCCCGTGCCTGCTGCCGGCTGCCTTCGCCCCCATCTACGTGGGCATCGTCTTCCTGGGCTTCACCCCCGAGCACCGCTGCCTGAGGCCCGGCGTGGCCGAGCTGAGCCTGCGATGCGGCTGGAGCCCGGCCCAGGAGCTGAACCTCACGGTGCCCGGCCCGGGGCCCGCGGGCGAGGCCTTCCCCCGCCAGTGCCGCCGCTACGAGGTGGACTGGAACCAGAGCGCCCTGGGCTGCGCGGACCCGCTGGCCGGCCTGGCCCCCGACAGGAGCCACCTGCCGCTGGGCCCCTGTCGGCACGGCTGGGAATACGACACGGCCGGCTCCTCCATCGTCACCGAGGTGAGCGAGGCTCCGCGTTTTGGGGAGCGTGTGGGTTTCAGGGGCTGGGAAGACATTTGCAACAAATCCTGTGAGGTTTGGTTTCACGTCAGGAAAGAGAGAGGGACGTGTGGCATGGGTCAGGCTCCGCCCGGGCACTAGGCATTCTTCCCTGTTGAACCCTCCCCAGACTCTGGGTGTCAGAGGAGGGCACTGAGGTTCAGAGAGGCCATTGCAAGCCGAACAATGCTGGCCTGTTCGGACATGGGTCTACAAGGAGCCTGGGGTTCCTCTTCTTTCTGCCCCCAACCCCAGCTTCTCCAAGACTCTGCAGAGTTTACCTGGGGTCCAGCTTCCTCACCATTGGAATTGGGGTTCCCCTCCCTCCTTGCAGGAGTCATGGACATGTGACAGCTTATTGCTGGCCGCTGAGGTGGTGAGGAGGCTGCTCTGGCCTGGGAGTGAGCCAGTGTGAATCCCAGCCATGCCTAAACCCCCTGAGCATCACTGAGTAGGTTCCTCAGCCTCTCTGAGCCCTGGTTTCCTCACCAATAAACCAGGGGTGATAATAACCTGCCCCACAGGGTTGTGAAGCTCAGCTGAGTCCTGTGAGAGCGCTGGCCAAGCAGAAACCGAGTGGCACCTGCAGCCCGTGGGGTGGGACCCTGGCGTCAGGGCCTTGTTTGCATAGTTTAATGGGTTCTACGAGCATTTTGCCTTACAGAGAAGCGGCTCCTGGAAGGAACGGCTCCTCCTGAATTCTCCCTGCCCCTTCATTCCATTGCCCCCCATCCCCACACATCCTAAGCTGAAACTTGTTCCTGGAGAATTCACTTTATTTAAAAAAATATAAATATCTTTATTGATTTCAGGGAGAGAGAGATAGAAACATCAATGATGAGAGTCATTGATCAGCTGCCTCCTGCAGGCCCCTGAGTGGGGATCGAGCCCACAACCCGGGCATGTGCCCTGATGGGGAATTGAACCCCGATTGCCTGGATCCTAGGTCGACGCTCAACTGCTGAGCCATGCCCGACCAGGTGGAGAATTTACTTTAGTTACTCATTTCTGCAGAAATCATCTTTAAATCAGCCATGCCTTGGACGTTGGAACTTGCTGAAAGGAGGACAGGGAGCCACTGTGTCTGAATCAGCGTCACCTGCTGGGAGACGGGCAGGGGTCGTAGGGGGAGGGAGGAGGGACGTGCAGTTCCTGCCCCCTGTAGGGGCCCTGCCCTCTCAGCTGCAGCGCCATCCACAGCGCCACACCAGCCTAGGGGCCCCTGACCTTGGCCTTCAGCCCAAGGTGAGAGCAGCGCTCACATTACCGTTTCCAAACTCGCCTGATCCGGGGGTCACCAGGATTCTGGTCTGTGACCTGCTGGACAGGACCCATGGGGATCTATTCTGACAGGGACTCGGGTGGCTCTCTTGACTGGGTGAGCCTGGCCATCCCCGGCCTTGGTAAACCCAGCAGGGGCAGTGACCTGCCTTGGGCGCCCCAGGCTTTTCCCAGGGGCCCGCCCGTCCTCCCGGTTGCACAGACGTCACGGGCAGAGGTTGAGTGCGAGTTTGGCAGGGCAGGGGACATGGCAGGTGTACAAGCCTCGCAGGTGAATCCAGACACAGGTCCTCCGTGGAGCCCAGGGCAGTTTTCTGGGGCAGGCGTGTTGGCAGGTGAGGCCAGAGGCCCTTGCTCCAGCTCTGTGAGGGTCTGGGCGTCTGCACACAGCAGGGGGCAAGGTGGATCCAGGACATTTCAGGGGGGCAGCGGGGACAGCTGACAGGGACGCTGATTGTAAAGATGAAAACAAAGGCAGCACCCAGTTCCTGCCCTGCAGTGACGCGTAGTTACAAGGAATGCCTCTGGGGCAGCGGGGGGGAGGCTACAAGGAGGCAGCTGGGCAGTTGGAGATACAGACCCTGGGCAGGCAGGTAACCTCTGGGGTGATCTGTCCCTGCAGGCAGGGGAGCCCCTGGGGAAGGGTGCTTCCAGCTGAATTTAAAGGGGAAAATGTCAGCACTGGGAGGGACAGAGAGATCTGATTGGCAGCTGGCCGCCCCCCCACGCCTGCCCCCCGGCGAACGCCTCCTGGGAGCAGACGGCAGGGCCAGGTTGCAGGGCAGGCCACAGGGCAGGCTCACTGGGAGTTTCTGAACGTCAGTGGTGACATGGAGTGTTACCTATATTTTATTTTTAGAAGTGCTCACGTCAAGGAAGTAAGCGGTCAGTCAGACAGGAAGCCAGGCTGCCTGAGGGCAGAGCCCAGGGACTCAGTGATTGACCCCCGAGGCCGGAACTAGGACATGGCTCCAAGGGGCCACTTCAGAGGTTGAAAGGTGGTGGGTAATGAAACCTCCCGGTGAAAGTTGAATGGATCGTTACTCACCAGAACAGCTCTCACTCGATTTCTCCCCTTCGGTGGTCATGGTAGCTCTGTGAGTGAGGCAGGACAGGGAAACTGAGGCCCGCAGTTGCTGAGTAACTGGCCTGCCATCACACCCCACAGGGGCGCCTGGTAGGGAGGGGACAGGGATCCACAGGGAGGAAAGGAAGGGCGTGTCCCCAGGCAACCCCCTGACAGCGCTGTGCCAAGAATGGGAGGGGTGGGGCTGGCTTTCCCCCTCCAGACCCCCTCCTCTCCCCAGTGCTCCATTCTTCTCTCTCCCCTTTGAGCTCTAAAGAGGGGGTGATGATGCTTCCCCAGCTGGGCCTTCCCTGTGCCCAGGTGTGTGCGGCATCACCCATGCTGGTGCCAGACACATGGGACCTCCGCTAAACCCAAACAGAACAGACCTCCCCAGGCCGACCTCAACCCCTCCCCTCTCCTGGCTCTGGGCACATGGACCCCCTGAGTGTCCCCCAGCCCCCGGTCCCTCCTGCACACGGACCTAGAGCACCTGCTGCCCCAAGGTGCCCGCTTTCTCGCCTCTGTGTCTTTGCTCTTCTAATGTGGCCACTCACAGCTCCACCATTCATGACAGAATTTGCATAATTACTGGTGGAATGTGCATGATTAAATGTGCAATTAGTAGGCACTTAAGGGTTTTTGACCAATTTTGGAAAACATGTCATATTTCTTTTGCTACATTTTTTGGAAAATTACTTTGTGCCCTGCCTGGTGTGGCTCAGCAGCTGAGCGTCGATCTAGGATCCAGGCGATCGGGGTTCAATTCCCGGTCAGGGCACAGGCCCGGGTTGCGGGCTCGATCCCCAGTCAGGGGTGTGCAGGAGGCAGCCGATCAATGACTCTCATCATTGATGTTTCTCTCTCTCTCTCCCTCTCCCTTCCTCTCTCTGGAATCAGTAAAGATATATTTAAACAAAAACAAAAAACACAACTATCCTTTAGAAAATACTAAAAACACCCCGTTGTGCAGGGGCTTTGGTAGGTGACACGGGAAAGGGTGGAGGAGGTGAGACGATGCGCTTCTGACGTGGTTTCTACATTGACAAAGGCGGAGGGAGCCTGCTGGC